CCCAGAAGTTTGAGGTTGCTGTGAACTGTGATGATGTTATTGCCCTCTAGCCGGAGTGACAGAGCACGACTCTGTCTCAAAAAAAAAAAAAAAAAAAGTTATTAGCAAATCTTTTGCGCCCATTCTCTAAGCCACTTCCACCTTCTCCTACTCATTTTCTACTCTCTCCTTCAGCCAGACTTTCTCTTCCTTTTTCATGCCAGATATATACATAAAAGAAATGTTGGCTGGGAGCAGTGGCTCACACCTGTATTCCTAGCACTCTGGGAGGCCAAGGCGGGGAGACTGCTTGAGGTGAGGACTCTGAGACCAGCCTGAGCAAGAGCAAGACCCCGCTCTACAAAAAACAGAAAAATTAGCCAGGTATGGTAGCATTTGCCTATAGTCCCAGCTACTTGTGAGGGTGAGGCAGGAGGATCACTTATACCCAGGAATTCAAGGTTGCAGTGAGCTATGATGATACCACTGCACTCCAGCTACAGCAACAGAATGAGACTGTATCTCCCAAAAAAAAAAAAGTCCTCTCCCTTTCTCTTCCTGCCATAGCCAACAGTGACTCCTACTTTCAAGGTCTAGCTCAGCCCTCACTTCCTCTTAAAACCTTCCCCAAATATACCTGCCAGGCCCTCTCTGAGCTCTCTTTCCCCTGAACCCACTTCACAGCACAGCTTAGTGTCTAATGCCGTGGTCATGTGGACATTTGTCTCAAGTAGGTCTTTCCTCTTTGAACCCTGGCTGGAATCAAGGTGGTGATGACTTTCACTTAACCAATTCCCTAAGGCAAGGCAAACTGTCAGAAAGTTGGATGTTCCTCCACTCCAAGGGAAAGAAGTGACTAGGACCAGCCTCTGGAAATACACAGGCAGCACAGCCTCGATGGCCTTTCAAGAGCTTTCACTCAGTATGCTGGCAAATAACATGGGTGCTTACGACTCAATCATGAGGGAGGCGGAGGTCTTGGGGAGAATGGTCAATGGGCAGGCGAGATGCCCAAAGGAATGCATGGTGCTGGGGGTTCTTCCCAGGGATGACCCCTGCCGATCAGAGTTTTCTCTGTGGGGCTAAGCCTAGATCAGCTAACATAAGGATTACCTAGTTAACAGCCACCTGTAATCCAGATTCCTATGCAATACATTAACCATATCTTGAGGTATCTGCTCAGTTCCATCCTGAGAATTGCTCCCCCTTCCCTATTACAGCCGATTGAGCCAGACATTGAACCCAAGCTGAGCCTAATAGATTGTCTCTCCCAGGAACACAGAGTTAGAAAACCAAGAAACTAAATCTAAGAGTAGTAAGCAAAAGAGCTGGAAGCCACCACAAGTCCAAGTCACATACAAGCCCTTAGTAATAGAGGAACAGAAACCAAAAATAAGCAGAGGAAAGAAGGACCACAAAAAGCAGCAGAAGCGAGAGGACATGCAGTTTTGAGAGAAAGACTGACAGAAGACAGGCAGGAGGTAGGGTAGGGCGGGGTGGGGGGCATGCAGGCCTGTAGTCCCAACTACTCCAGAGGCTGAGGCATGAGGATTGCTTAAGCCCAGCAGAAAGAGACTTTCTGATCATATCCTGGCTGTGCTTACTGTGCTTGTTTGTAGCCCCATGATGGGGAAGAGAAGTTGAGACGCTCCTCACACCCACTGACAGGAACTCCTCACTTTTGCCCCTTCTCTTTCCCTCCATTCTGCTACAGATTTCCCACAGGCTTGGTCCTTTCCACACACAAGCAACTATTACACACAGTGGAAATTCAATGACTATGTGCTGAACTAATGAATGCAGGCAGCTTTCCTGGAAGCCACTGTAGAGCTCATTTCAAAGAGCAGCAGGAAGGATACAAAACCACTTGGTCTGCGTAGTTGCCTCTAGGGAGGACGACTAAAGATCTGGAGAGAGAGGGAGACTTTTTTCCATTGTGTACCCTTATATACTTTGACTGACTTACCATGCACATATGCTTCTTTCTGGATAAAAATAAAAATAGTTCACTAGCAACAAAGTACAGCCAGAAAGCAGAGCCAGGGTCAGGATGAAGCTAGTAGGTGCCTAGAGTACAAAATTTAAGGAGGCACTGACTCTCAGGGGACCACGAGCAGGAATCTGAGAGCCAGCACTTTCTTAAATGCTGGCCCCAGGTGCCTCGCTTGCCTCACTCTACTCTCAGCCCTGCCAGAGAACAGAGAGCTCCCAAAACAGAAGCCAAGTCCCTTGACTGTTTTCCTAATTCTAATTAAGAAACCAAATTTCACCATCTGATCCCTACCCCTCCATGCCTCCCAAAACCCAGACCCATCTAGCTCACCATAAGCTCTATCAGAGTTCAGACAAAGACAACAGGCCTGGGCCTTAAGGCCAGATGCTCAAATTCAACTACCACATTTAAAATATGTAAGCCTTTCCCCTTCTTCTGATCTCATTTTCTTCCTGGACAAGTCTGCACCAAGCAGCATGGTACCTATGGGAGGATCTTCAAGGCTCTCTGGGAGCTTGTTACTGAGAAAGAAGTACTCCAATAGCAGATCCAGACCCAAATCTAAGCAGAAACAAATCCCCAAAGTCTCTCTGTGGCAGAGACTACTAATTATCTTCCAATATCTGTCTTTCCCTTTCTCCTTAGTAATATAAATGTTAGCTGAAGTCATGGCTGCTCAAAATAAAGTTGACATTCTCTAGCCTCTCCTGCAGGTAGGTATGACCACGTAACTAGGTTTTCCCCCAGGGATATACGCAAATGTTTCATATAAGACCTTAGGAAGTGTCTTTCAAGGTAAGGGTGTGCCTTTCTTTGTCCTTCCCGTTAGCTACAATGCAGACATAACAGTGGAGCTAGAGTAGCCATCCTGGACTATGGGCTAAAATTCACATGCTGAGGCTGGCAGGACAGTAAGACACAAGGAATGAACCTGGCTCCCTGGAGAACTGAAGTCATCCAGGCCACACTGCCTACCTTTAACATGTGAGAGAAATAAACGTCAATATGTTTGAGCCATGTTGCTTTAGCTTTCCTGTTGTTTGAAACCCAAGCTAATACTGAATAATATGTATGCATCCTCTGACACAACTGCTCTCACACTCTCTTCTTCTTTTTTCTTTTGAGACAGAGTCTCGCTTTTTTGCCTGGGCTAGAGTGAGTGCCGTGGCGTCAGCCTAGCTCACAGCAACCTCAAACTCCTGGGCTCAAGCAATCCTTCTGCCTCAGCCTCCCAAGTAGCTGGCATGCGCCACCATGCCCGGCTAATTTTTTTTTCTATATATTTTTAGTTGTCCGATTAATTTCTTTCTATTTTTAGTAGAGACGGGTCTCGCTCTTGCTCAGGCTGGTCTCGAACTCCTGATCTTGAGCGATCCATCCGCCTTGGCCTCCCAGAGTGCTAGGAT